CGCCGCAACGTCCTTTGTTTGTTTATTGTGATCGATTTTGTAAAGCTAACATAAACTATTTGTTGTTTCTTACCAACGTTTTCTCTTCCCTGAAATTTTCGACTCCTTTGAAAAACTTTGCTATTGCAGGCAGGTCTCCCATATCGTCTCCATCTGTTTAGCTTCACTCTATAGTTAGCTCCCTTATCCTTTTAGTGTCTTCGTTTATTTGTATGTCCTGCGCTTTCCAGTGCAAAAACATTCTAGTTATATTGTTCTGTTTTTTTTTTTCATGTCCTTTCCAACGCCTTCCTCTATTCTTCTCCTCTTGGTCCACTGGAACTTGTTTTGTTCTCTTTCAAAGCTCTACATTCGAGATTCTATCATACTTTTTAATTGCTTCTACTGTGTGCAGTCACTAGTTAATAAAAAAAATTCGTCGTTTATTAGTTACTGCTTTAGTTGTTCCACATGTTTTCGTTCCATACAGAAGCACTGATTTGGCATTATAATTATAAATTATAATTTTAATATTAGTTTAATTTCTGTTAACCTCAGCGAACTTTCTGGTGCTATGACAGCTTCTCTTGCACTTTTCATTCCTTAATTTATTCATTATTTATTTATCTTGTTTGAATTAATGTTGATGTCGCTGTAGCCATGCAAGGGATGAGGTGCAGTGAAGTATGTCTGGTAATAAACTATACAGAGCAGACCACTTGATTCTGCATTATTCAACTTTACAAAAGGAAAAACATTGTTTCCAACGTGTTTTCTCGAATTCTTTCCGAAGCACGCAATTGACGACAGTAAAGAAAATGAAGAGTAGATGAAGAACGGCTGATTAGGAGTATGGAAAGCTACGAAACATTTGCAGTTACAATGTTGTAGGGAGCTGCCACAGTCTAGTTGATAGAAACCCACCTGTCTGCTCGATGGTGTGGTGTTTAAATCCACATCGACAACAACATAATTTTTGTTTTCAAAATTGACCTCCACACTTAGGTCGACGCAGTCTAAAATGGATACCAGATAATGTCATTGAAAGTAAACGCGGCCGCGGGGATGTTGGCCATGTCACTCATCGAGCGACGATTGGTCTATACAAATGTGGAGTTGGCATCATATGCCCGCTCGGCTGTTGGCGTTAAAAGATTTTCTAACTTAACAGTTAAATTTGTTGTTTTATTCACATATTTATACAAGAAGAGAGATTCGTCACTGAACTAGACACGTCTCCATTGCTCAGGGACGATGTTGGTTGGCCGGAAGAAGTCGATTTTGCGGTGGTGACGCGTAAGGACAGCTAGCTCCTCGTTGTGGTCATCGTGTGCCCAAAGTCCAACGTCATGCAGTCTCTTCCGAACAGTTTGATCAGACACATAAAGTCCTGGAGGCAATACCTGCGCAGTTAAGGAAGCAGTCGTAAACCTGTTTCTGAGGTGACGAAGCCGAATAAAGCGATTCTCCGCTGCTGTTGTCACTCTTGGTCGTCCACTGCGATGTCTGTCTTCAGCTGAACCAGTGGCTTGGAATCGGTGCCAAAGTCGACTGATGGTACTCTGCTGCACGTTTAGATGCCTGGCAACCTGACTTTGACTTTCTCCTGCCTGCAATCTACCAATAGCAAAATCTCTTGAATGTGTTATATATAAATGGTCTAGCGAGGGCCGGATTTTTTTTAAAGACCTGGGCTCCCAGATCGATTCAGGAAGAGTGGATACCAGGTACAGTCCTGGGAAGTAAAGGCGATCAATGTGATGCTGACCACATCAGCCGCCAAGTGCCGTATAGTCTATAAAATATAGGTCTAGTCCTATATGCCCAATAAGCCTGAAAGGCGTGGAAAAGGGTCATTGACTTTACTTTTATATATATATATTTGCAGAATACTATGTCGCATTTCATGCAAGTAAAGCAAAGTTAACACAGAGGTATTGTGATGACTGGCAGAAACAATTGCTCAAAGAAATAAGAAAGTGGCAACTGAGATCGTTCCGCCTAATTAAAAGACATCCTCTCAATCAGCGAGGCCTTTGCAGAACGTCGCTCTCTCTACGGCACGCCTGAAAGTATCCCTTTCCCTAGCCGGCTCTCCAGCCCCATGTGCTTTCAATGTCCTGTCTCCATCTTCGCGGTGGTCGACCCCTGCCTTCCACAAACATCACCCTCCATCACCGTCTTTTCCAAGCCACCATGACGTTTGATTTAGTAAAATACTTCAACTTTCAGGACAGGATGCTGTTTATGAGCCAGTTCTCCTGGATGTTTAACTCGTGCAGAATGTCCATGTTTTTCTTCTTGTTAATATATTGTTTTCTGAGAATTTGTCTGTAACATTTTAACTCGAAACTCCGATCTTTTTCCTCAGTGATTGAATGAGAGTCCTGGACTATTTTACAGGAGCTTCGCTACAAGTTCTTCATGCTGGGTAAACTCTGCATTTCGAGCAGCCGCCCCTGTTGTTTACTAAAGAGCCCAAGTAGTCTAAATCTGCGATTTTTTTTTATTTTTTGTATTTGTTCTATTTTCGATTGTGATACCTTGTTGGTGTGCTAAATTTACTGAGGAACTGATTTTTTTTTTTTTTTTTTCAATTTAGAAAAAGATTTACTTCTTCGCTGTGCATTTTTTTTTTTTTTTTTTTGACGGCAAAATTCATTTTCCTAAACCTTGTACACTATTGGAAAGAACTGTGTCGACTGCTTATCTGAATTCTGGGATAGGATTATCACCAATTTTTAGTGAATCAAAGCTCTCACGTGCCGCATAGCTAATTGCCTTTCTCATAATATTTTTTTGCGCAAATATGACAAGAAGAGACAGACAAAGACATCACTCTTGAAAACCATACCGTTAGAAAAAGTCGAAGGAACGAGAGCAAGAGGTAGACAATGATACAAGTAGAAGGACAACATCAAGAGTTAGACGATCTGCAGTCCGAATGTACTACCAAAACGAGAGGTAAAAATGTTGGGAATCCATTGCAGTTAATCATTATTTGCCTTACAATATTTGTTGTTGTTGTTGTTTTTATAAGCAATCAATTTATAATTTATTGAAGGCTGCAAATATATTATTAATTTTTTCTGTCCAAGTGTATCTTCTCTCTCTCTCTCTCTCTCTCTCTCTCTCTCTCTCTCTCTCTCTCTCTCTCTCTCTCTCGCCTAAAGGTCATCCTAACAATTGGATACTCACAGACACGCATACACGTGCACATATGTGTGAACATAGTATTTGCGTATTTGCAGTAAATACAAGGAATGCTCACAAGCATACACACAATCATGCACTGACAAGTTTAACTCTTCCGTACTCCGTGACAGCATCAATCAACTGATTAATGGCCTCAGGAGATTCCTATTCTCCATTTCCATTTATAATGCTCTATGACAGAATCAATTCACTAAACTGATATCAAAAAGAACCCAAGCCCCTTTTGATATTCCTGGAAAAATATATATGTATATTTATATATATTTAGAGAAATATGCTTCAATCTGGCAAATAACTTTTCTATACGTCTTTTGTTGCCAAAAACTAGCTACACTGTGCAGCCTGATGAGGCTGTTTAGCGGACCATGGATTTCCCAGATGAGTCCTTCTCGGTTGTTTCGTATGCTAGGATGTTGTGAATTTTAGGTTTCCATCATCACCATCATCATCACTATCATCATCATCCTTGATAAGCCGTTAGATGTCACATAGAGCTCGCATTCGATTCCTTGACTGCACTCTGTTGCATGTAATGTTCTTGATTTGGACGTCCTCTTTTGTTCTCAGAGTGTTTCCCAATTCAGCACCAATTTTTAGCTCTTTGCTCATTTCGTCACAGAGTGTGCCCAATATACCTCCTTTTTGTCTTTTTACAGGGAATACAGGCCTTTGTGAACACTTTTCTCTGATCTCCTCACTCTTTTTGAACTATCCCATTTTATGTTGATGATTTTTTCACACATCTTAGATTCTCTGAGGCTTTTTCAATCCATCTTCATCTTGTTATTCCTCTGCGTGTTTTAACACTGCGAAAACATGGAGAAATTGGTCCTAACCCAACCACTCTAGAGAGTGCTGCAACCTATGTCACAGGCGTTCTCTTTCTCGGAACGTAAATGCAAGACAACGCAAAAAGCAAACAACAGAGTGGCACACCCGTAAACTTTAGAAAAGTCGACCAGCTAAACAAACTTGTTTATAAAAAGTGACCTACTCTATTTGGGCAGATTAACGTGAACCTAACCTGATTTTCTTTCACGCCGACCAGATGACCAAACTTGTTGATGCTTTGATGCTCTATGAAGTCATTTACCTATACTCGTGATTCGCCAGTATTGTTCCTTCTACTATTTTTAGTTCTTCGTTGGTGATTATGCCTCTCTTATTTTCTTCCTGCCGCAGCTCTTTTAGACCTTATCTCAGCTCTCGATACCCCAATCGAAATCAACCCAAGGCGGTCTGCGGCCTAATCCCCCGCAGCTTGAATTCAACATGTAGGAGAATATGTGTAAAAGAACGACGTGTGAATAATAAGTGTGCTACGGGAACAGTTAGCATCTACATCTTAAGATGCAGAAGATAAAGCCTCTATACTTTTGCCCAGTGTGCTATGGTGTAGATTCCTAAATCAGTAATCAGCTGCCTAAAAACACAGCAGTTCGAGAATAATATCCTTCGTATACTGTGATCTTTGAGCAGGCTGTGCATCGTTTGTGTCAGAGCTGTGTTGGAGTTGCTTCGATGACAATGGTCTTGTCTGTGAACTTTCTCAAGTAGGAGGGCTTTTTGTGGTGGGGGTCTCTACGATTGACGTGGATGCTGGTGTCGGCCTCCTGGGGCGACTCTGCCAGAGCATAGCGGTACAGCTGTGATCCAAATGTGGACCCAGCAAATGGGGCCACCCAGTAAACCTGGGGAAGAAAATAGGCAAAGATATTTAAAACCTTTCTGAATGGTATCTTTGGAAATCATCATTATCAGTTCTAGTTATGCCTAGTGGCACATGAGGCTTCAGAGAGGACTTTCTATGCTTTCCTGTCCTGTGCAATCTATAATGCAGTTTTCCATGTCAAAGATGCCACACTCAGGTCACTTTCCATCGTTCGTCTCCATGTTGATTTTGGGCGCCCCTGTTTTCTCTTTCCCTCTGGTGTCCATGTGAGAGCTGCTTAGGCAGGTATATCAGGATTCTTTCTCATAACGTGACCAAGCCATTTCCATCTTCTCTTGGTTATCATACTGTCTAGAGATTCTTGGTTTGTGACTTAAAGTAGTTTAGTGTTTGGCATTGTATCTGACCAGAACATTTTGATAATTCTACGTAGACAAGTGTGGTGGATGGCGGACAGCTTGGGTACATCTATCTTTGGAAATGGAAGCACAAATCGTAATATTAACAGCAGTGTTATGCATTGTCGTCTTTGTGACAGTAAATAAATAGTATTAGTAGCAGCAGTAATAGTTGTAGTAGAGTTAATAGTAGAGTAGAAGCAGGAATAGTAGAATTTGTAATACTACTACTACTAGTAGTCGCTGAAACAGTAATAGTGAAGTTAATAGTAAAGTAGTTGAAGAAATAGTAGAATTTGTAGTACTAGGAGTCGCAAGAGCAGGACCATATTAGTAAAAATGATAGCAGTAATAGTAGTAGTTAGCTGAGTAGTTGTGATGTTGGAGTAAAGCTGTGCAGTAGTAAAAAGCAGCAGCAATAGTAGTAGTTAGCTGAGTAGTTGGGGTATTGAAGTAAAGCTGTGCAGTAGTAAGAAGCAGCAGCAATAGTAGTAGTTAGCTGAGTAGTTGGGGTGTTGAAGTAAAGCTGTACAGTAGTAAGAAGCAGCAGCAATAGTAGTAGTTAGCTAAGTAGTTGGGGTATTGAAGTAAAGCTGTGCAGTAGTAAGAAGCAGCAGCAATAGTAGTAGTTAGCTGAGTAGTTGGGGTATTGAAGTAAAGCTGTACAGTAGTAAGAAGCAGCAGCAGCATTAGGGGCAGTAGTAGCAGCAGTTATAGTATTGAATTTGTAGTACTAGGAGTCGCAAGAGCAGGACCATATTAGTAGAAATGATAGCAGTAATAGTAGTAGTTAGCTGAGTAGTTGTGATGTTGGAGTAAAGCTGTGCAGTAGTAAGAAGCAGCAGCAATAGTAGTAGTTAGCTGAGTAGTTGGGGTATTGAAGTAAAGCTGTGCAGTAGTAAGAAGCAGCAGCAATATTAGTAGTTAGCTGAGTAGTTGGGGTGTTGAAGTAAAGCTGTACAGTAGTAAGAAGCAGCAGCAATAGTAGTAGTTAGCTAAGTAGTTGGGGTGTTGAAGTAAAGCTGTACAGTAGTAAGAAGCAGCAGCAATAGTAGTAGTTAGCTGAGTAGTTGTGATGTTGAAGTAAAGCTGTACAGTAGTAAGAAGCAGCAGCAATATTAGTAGCTAGCTAAGTAGTTGGGGTATTGAAGTAAAGCTGTACAGTAGTAAGAAGCAGCAGCAATATTAGTAGTTAGCTGAGTAGTTGTGATGTTGGAGTAAAGCTGTACAGTAGTAAGAAGCAGCAGCAATATTAGTAGTTAGCTGAGTAGTTGGGGTATTGAAGTAAAGCTGTGCAGTAGTAAGAAGCAGCAGCAATAGTAGTAGTTAGCTGAGTAGTTGGGGTATTGAAGTAAAGCTGTACAGTAGTAAGAAGCAGCAGCAGCATTAGGGGCAGTAGTAGCAGCAGTTATAGTATTGATAGTTGTAGTCGTGGTTGTTATAGAAGTAATAATAGCAAAAGTCGTATTATTGTAGTATCAGTAGAATCCTTAGCGGTAACTTTTGTAGTAGTTGTAGCAGTAGTAGTAGTAGCAATAGTAGTAACAGCAGCAGTAGCAGTAGTAGTAGTAGCAATAGTAGTAACAGCAGCAGTAGCAGTAGTTGTAGTAGCAATAGTAGTAACAGCAGCAGTAGCAGTAGTTGTAGTTGTAGTAGCAATAGTAGTAACAACAGCAGTAGTAGTAGTTGTTATTGTTATCCTCCTTGCTGCAGGAAGGAGCCGGAGCGCATCTGCCAGAGAGGTGAGAAACCAAAAGTCTGCATAAAAAGCAATCACACTTACATCGGATGAGCATACAAAACCTAAATTTTGGATGAAGACAATATTTAAAAAAAAAAACTAATTTTTTTCCGTCGAGTTTGCAGCCGTTAAAACCTAAAAATAAAAAGAAGCAGAAAGTGAAGAAGGATGAGAAAGAGGAGGTGTTGGAAGAGGATGAGAAATAAGAAAGCAGCAGTGGTAACAAAAGTAACTCGGCCAGAAAAGAAACAGTGGCAAGGAAATTTCTGCCTCACCCAATGATGATTCCATGATCCCGAAACGACAGCTGGCCCAAAAGACCTAGCGGGGTTCATGCTACATCCGGTCAGCTTGCCCTGCAAACATGAATTTTTTTTTTCTTACTATACAGTCAAACTTCGATTAACCGTCACAGTCTGGACGAGGGCTGTGACTGATAACCGAATTGACGGATAACAGAAATCACGTTTTACATATGTACAGTAACGGGATTTCTTTGCGAGCTTAGGATTAAACTAAAAACAAAATCCTTTCAAAGTTAATAAATATATAACTATTGTGTTCAGCCTTAGAAAACGATCAATATAAACTTCAGCATGAAAGTAGTAATGTACATACATGTCTTGAAATACTCTATCCTCTACAATACCTACCCAAGGTTTTTATTACCTCAATATGATCTGCAATTGTTCTGGTAAACACGTAAAAACAAATATTAACACAGCAACATCAGATACAATAACAAGTCACAACAACAAGTAACAAATGTAACAACAATAATAACACCACAAAAATAATAACTTTAACAGAAAGTAACCAGAAACACAATTAACAACAGCAAATGCGCAAATACAAATACAAAATTGGAAGCGGTGTGAAGCTGAAATGGTGAGCTGCGCAGGCCTCTCACACATTTTCTAGGTGTGTGTATATATGTGTGGGGAAGGGTGAGGTATTTCCTCACGGTTTCTTAGCCTTGTTTCACCAAACAATAATAATAAGAAACAATGCTGAATAGTAGTTAAATAGAATTATACAAAAATAAAATAATATTCAATGTATAAAGAAATACAAATAGACGAGTTTGTATACATGGTTATAACAAGGGACAGGGCGCCAATCCTGCTTGCCAATGTTCTAGTGGTCGAAGGAGGAGGTTTTCACTACCCATAAAATTTACTAGAGATTTGGGCATCGGCGGAGTGGGGTGGGGGGTTATCCTCCTACAAACATAAGGTGGGCGCACCAGTATTCTGATGCCCTTTTACAAATCTCGAGTCGGAAAAGCGACGTGTACACAAAGGGGAAAAGTCTCTTTTCCTATACTGACTGATTTGCTTCAGAGCCGTTTAACATTGTAATAACTTAAAATAATAATAATAACAAAGATAATATTAACAAAATGGATAAAGAATAAATAGTAATTAGCCAGGACTATCCTCATCTCACAATAAAAAAGAGACAAACATTGTTCTTTGGCCACATACTGAGAAGAGAGACATTGCAAAACATCGTGACAACTGGAAAGATCAGCGGAAAAGGGCGAAAAATGGTTAGAGGCAGACCAAGAGAGATGATGTTGGATGGGCTTAATCGATGGCATAGAGGAATTTCACCAAGAATGCTGTTTCAGGCAACTACGGATCGTGATCTTTGGGGGACGCATGAGCACAGCAGATGATGATGACAATTATCCTCACCTCGGGAAGGTCCACAGACGCTCTGATCTTCTCCTCTATAGCTTGAGTATCTTTACGCGGATACAACTAGTGACCATACACGTTCTTTGTTGAGTGATGAAACTGGTTGGACCCTTGAGGAAATGCTTTGTCTGGCATTTTCATTTTGGGCCTTATGAAAAGTTTGGCATTTCTGGATAGTTGGGTATTATGGGTAGTTGGCCATTATTGCATAGAAAATCATAGAACATGATTGGAAGTAGACGAAACAGTAGACTGTTAACATCTACCCCCTCCCCCTCCCCCAACCCCCACCGCCCATAATAATAATTCACTGAAACCGAACTGCACAGGTAATGAAGTTCAGTAAGCATGTAAACAAAATAAATTCAGTAAAGGCGCGAACAAGATCCAGCCAGGATTCACAACAGAAACAGGCAATACTCACAGCCCAAGCGTTGCTCATGAATATTATCAAGCCGATGGTCAGCGGCAGCGAGCCCGAGTGGTCAGTCCGGTATCTGTCTGCGGTTGCGAACACGCCCATCATTAGGATGAATGTGCTGATGAACTCGATGAAAAATCCCTACACACAAGTTGGCACCATTGGTTATATGACAAGTAGGCAGTTCAGTAATTACATGAATTCAGTCCCAGATAATGCGAAATGTTGGACTGGATTTAATAACATGCATCAGTCAATTAATATATTATTATTCTTACATATTTGGTTTATAATGGGTATTCTCAAACCCGCGAAAACACACGTGTCTGCCACAACGGATGTATATTTGAGCGCAGTGGATAAAGTATACGTATTTGTGTGTGTGTGTTGTTGCTAACAATTATCTCACTTGTGCATCAGCTATTATTTTCTAAAATGCAAAGAGATAAAAACCAACTTTATAGCCTTCGGGACAATCACATAAGCGCTGCATCTTCATCTTCAGCAGCCATCGCCGATTTTCAGTTTCGATGGTATCAGTACCTGTCGGCCAGGTCCCTTGGTCATTTCCTAAGTAAAGTAAAGATCCCTTTCACGCCTTTAGGCGTATCGGGCATATGGGAAGATCGCCCATATTTTTACAGACCAAGCACTCGGTGGGTAATGTGGTCAGCATTACGCCGGCTGTCTTTACTTCCCAGGACAGCCCATCCTGGTACCCATTTGAGGCTGGGTCGACCCATACCACGATAAAAATCCACGCAGCCCGCAGTGGGTTTCGATCGCGTTAGATTACGAGTCGGACTCGCAACGCCTTAGCCACGGACGCGGCACGGTCATTTCCCACTGTATCATTTATTCTCTTTTAGACCGTGGTGGTCTAGTTGTGTTGGCAAACTGTTCACTCGCTCACAAAGAACCCTCACATCTGGCTCGACAAACATCAGTTTACCACCAAGTGGTGCGGAACCAGTCATTCCTATTGGCTGTTCGTTTCCCAAAACACCTGGATAAAATAGCCAAAGGATACAAACTTCCTGTGACTAATAACACAGGATCAGTCTCAATCTTTCTCAGCGTGTCATGTGAATCAGTTACAATCACGTTCTATGGGTGCAGCTGACTCTCAGTCACTGCACTGACTGCCTCCACCTCCATTATCAAATAAGATGTTGTGGTATCAATTGCCGGACTTTGTTGCACTAGGCGACATCCATTCGTGTTTGATATGAACCCCCAGGCACTTTGTCTACCTTTCGACACAGAGCCTTCTGTATAGATGATAATCACATCACCTGGGCGGAAATTGTCAAGAATTATTTGGTGAACTTCTGATTCCGGAGCACTAGCTGGCCAGTGATGGCACTTACCGCTAGATGTAATTCAAAGCCTACCTAAGTCTGACTCTCGCTCAGACCTTTCTTCTCGCCCTCTCTTTTCGTTGCGTATCCTTTACAGATTGTTGCAGAAGCAGCCCCAGCATTCATTGGCTGTTGTGGCTTTTCTAGACACATTTACGTCCACTAGTTTGGCATTGTTACTGAACGGTCGGCTTCTTGATATCACTGTTGAAACCCTCGCAAAGCGCAAGGCCTGTAGGTGGAATCAAACACAGCAGCCCGGCATTACGAAGCGCGTTCGCAACGCCTAAGCCACAGACGTTAACTCTCCTCGTCCTGTATCATCAGTTATGCACCCTTGTCTGATTGTATCTTCAACTTGTGATGTCCGAAACCTTCAGCTTTTCAGTATGAAACATTAGCTCCACTAAGGGATCCATGTAGGAATTGTTTCTTGTCTGCAGCTACTCTGAGATAAACTTTGCATGCAGCAATTTGAACCTGTCTATAAGAGCCGACAGTGTGAGTATGTATCGTATACATTCTAGAGCCAGCATCATTCTCTATGCGTTCAAGTTTAGCAGTGGCAGTGAGTCAGTGTTGTAATGATATGTGAGAGTTGTTTCAATGATTGGGCGAGATGGACAATAAGAAGTCAAAATTCCTACTGGCTGTGGGGGAATGTTATGTCATCAGAATGCAAAGAATATCAAGAAAAATGTCTGGGTAGAGTGTTTGACGTGTGTATGTTCGGGGGGAGGGGGGGCGTTGTAGGGAGCTGGGGGGGGGGGGCAAAGTACCCACCTACCTGGACAAGTGTTACATCTTCATGAAAGACAGTACTGCCAAGGTTTCCCCTCCATGAAGGTGGCACCAAGAACCAGACAACAGCGGCACCGGTCATAGTTCCCAGACACTGAGCTATGATATATCCTATTGTCTGTGAAAATATTTTATCTATCTATCTATCTATCTATCTATCTATCTATCTATCTATCTATCTATCTATCTATCTATCTATCTATCTATCTATCTATCTATCTATCTATCTATCTATCTATCTATCTATCTATCTATCTATCTATCTAATCTATCTAATCTATCTATATCTATCGATCTATCTATCTATCTATCTATCTATCTATCTATCTATCTATCTATCTATCTATCTATCTATCTATCTATCTATCTATTCTATCTATCTATCTATCTATCTATATCTATCTATCTATCTATCTATCTATCTATCTATCTATCTATCTATCTATCTATCTATCTATCTATCTATCTATCTATCTATCTATCTATCTATCTATCTATCTATCTATCTATCTATCTATCTATCTATCTATCTATCTATCTATCTATCTATCTATCTATCTATCTATCTATCCATCCATCTATCTATCTATCCGTCTATCCGTCTATCCGTCTATCTGGCTATCTGTCTATCTGTCTATCCGTCTATCTGGCTATCTGTCTATCTGTCTGTCTATCTATCTATCTATCTATCTATCTATCTATCTATCTATCTATCTATCTATCTATCTATCTATCTATCTATCTATCTATCTATCTATCTATCTATCTATCTATCTATCTATCTATCTGTCTGTCTGTCTGTCTGTCTGTCTGTCTGTCTGTCTGTCTGTCTGTCGGTCGGTCGGTCGGTCGGTCGGTCGGTCGGTCGGTCGGTCGGTCGGTCGGTCGGTCGGTCGGTCGGTCGGTCGGTCGGTCGGTCGGTCTAAAAAATGAGGAGGATGAGCAAAAGGAGAAGGAACGACAATAGTAGTAGTAGTTGTTTTTGTACTAGTAGTTACTGTCAATGATGTGATATGTTTGCTGTCTTAGCACTCACCTTAGTTACAGACACTATTCCTGAAATCATGAAAGCAAAAGTTATCACCGGATTGTTATGAGAGCCGCTGACATGGTTCAATGTCCACACAATATTGGCTATTGTCATGCCAGCAACAAACGCCCGGGTCACAGTGCTCGGTGGTTTCCCAGCTTCCATAGTAAGTGAGGCACCGCAACCACACACAATTAAAATACAACCGCCCAAAAACTCACACATTAAACCCTTGTAGAAACGGACTGTCCTTAACTCGTGCAAACCCAGGAAAACTCTCCCTGTCTGTATCATGGCGTTATGCTTGTGCCGTGTTAGATGTTTTTATTCATTTAATCTTTTATGTTACCGCAATTTAAACCAGTTTAAACAAAACAATTCTCACTGCCACATCTGATTTGTTTTCCACAACAACAAAAATCGAATGCCTGACGTATTCAAAATCATCCAGACGTGCTTATAGCAGTATAATCATTAATATGTATGTGTCTTTCATGTTGTTAGTTTCTTTTATGTCCTTTTACAGGATGTTTGCCAAGCGACCCCCAATAGTTGTTAGCCAAATATTAGAAGCCAGTTTTGCAATCAGTAGTTTGCCGCTGTTTACTCAAAGATCGGCACTCCATACTGGTGTCGAAATCAAGGAAAAGCGGTATGCTGTATATAGCTGACTCCATCTGGGTATTTCGGAATTACACATCGCTTTCGCAACGCCTAAGTCACAAGCATTGATTTATATTAAAGTATTTTAGAAACAGAACTACTTCGATACTGGTTTCATAAATGTGTGTTGTTTTAGTATGTTCATGGATAAACATAATTTAAAACACAGATTTAAGGACTTTCTGAGACTTCTGAAAGCAATTATGCTACCTCTATGACTGTTTCGGCTAGCTTCTTGTGCACCCACACAAAATGCCCGGTTGTGTGGGTGCAAGTCGCTGTAAGTTAACACCACACAAAATCTCACACAAACATAGAAGTTGAACGATTCGGCTGACATGTTTTACCATCACGTAATGTTCCCTTAATATATTCACGCAGAACCAAATAATTTACAATTCTCCCAAATTTGCATAAATACAGGTAATTGAACTTTAAACCCCACAAACATACTGACAATATTGTCACCGTATTGAAACACCGGGCACAAAATATGGATTGACATAAATGTTTGACTGAAATGATGCAGGCACATTCATTTCACATGCTTGTGCTTTGTGAAAACTAAAGAGCTTTTGCAACTATGATCCTACACCTGTCTGTTTAAAAACTGTGGATCGCTTCTCATTATAATGCTAATAGATACATGTTACATTCAAATAGGGATATTGTACCACAAATTGGTAAGTAAAGTAAAGTGCCCTTTTTAACCATTGATACATCGGGCGTAAAGTACAAGAAGCATGACTGTATGATCCAGTAAACCATGTGGTTAGTGCAGCCATTTCATAGTATTTTAGTGCATGCGATGTGACGCTGTTAGTCGTATCTTTCAACAGCTTTCTGCCTCGTTTCCTTGGAACTGTCCAGCATCTTTGTTTATTGGTCTTCCCCTGCCTCTACTGCCCTCCACCTTTCAGATTGTCTCAACTGAGCCCATAGCAGGCGTGCCACCCAGCAATTATCAGAAAGACTGACGCCCTTTTAAAGGGGGCAGTAATAAATAATATTATTTATTATTATTATTATTATTATTATTATTATATGCTAGATGTCAAAAATATAATACTATATTTGAAGTAGTGTAGTCAAATGTGTAGTCAAATGTGTAGTCAAATACGTGAAAGGAAAACTTCTGTAAATGTTTAGACAAATCATTTAATCACCTTGCAAATTTTTCTGAGGTCTTCTCCTCCCCCTTCCCAAATATCTAGCATGGAGCTGAAGGTGTTTGAGGTCCCGGGTTCCAGTCGCTGTCCCAGTCGCTTGTCCCTTTCACGACCTAACTAGTTCGTGCAGACGGTCTGCTCCTGATGTAGGTTGTTAACTCTCTTCTCGATTTTCGTTTTTACGAGAAATTTTGTATTGCAGTTTTGATATGTCCGTGATGTTTTGTTCAAGTGAATCATCTCCGAGACATGACTACAAAACAGGATTTCACTTCGCTCATATTTTATCAAAAACGGGCAGGCATTTGACTGTGTTCTGAACCACAATTTGTGGCCCATATTCTGATCCACCTATTCAAATCTCTTTACCATGAAACACCAGCAGAAGTCAATGTAGCTGGCTGAACATCGGACTGATTTGAAGTGCATAGATGAGTAAATCATGGCTGCGTTCTCTCTGTCTCCTTTCAGCAAATAGACTGAAAGTATAATGATGTTGCTGTTGTTGTTGTTAAATTAAGAATAGACATCACAGCACTTTGCACAGCTCTATAATTGCGCTGTCCCCTCTTTAGCAGCAAGCGAAGAGTTAAAATTCCGTTGGTACCAGTCTGATTGTATATCTGTCTCACCTTTCCCCTGAGTGTCAAGCGTATATTGTGCATAATGAGAAATGCAGCTAGTGAGGAGGCCTGTGGCAGTGTGGATCCCCTCAGAATGGGGTGCAAACCTACCCCAAACTCAGACGACACGGTTCCCCTTTCAAACAGTTTGCACGGCTTAGAAGAAATAATTCCCACTGTCAAAACAAAACAAAACAAAATATAAAAGTGAATCTTGTTTTTTCTACATTTGAAAAAAAAAAGCAGGGTGCAGAAATCTATGGGCGGTTCTCGTCAGTAAATACAGCATTCCTACCACATATGAAATTCGATAATAAAGAAATCGAAAATGTCCCACATTTTGCATATCTTATCTCTGTAGTGAACAATAATAGCAAAAATAGGTCTGAAAAAAAAAAAAAAACACAGATTAAACGGTGCAGAGATAAAAAAAAAATTGAAAAACCATTGCACCATAACATTTTCCCCATGACAACTTATGGTATCTTTGTTCAAAACTGAAATTAAAAAAAAAATTGCGCTTTTGAAATGAAATGTTACACCGTTTTTTAGAATACCATAGACAAAAAGAAAAAAACACCGACTTCTTAAATTTCTTATGTCCAGAATAATTGGTTCAAAAACAGCACTTGTGCAGAAATCTATGGTGTTTTGGCCATGAGGGACATAGTGGTGTGTGTATGTACACCAAACGGTGACGGAGGGTCCTGTTTGCGGAACAGAGCTGAAGGTCGACTTCCAAGAGGGTGGGTACATTTAAGATGTACTGCCGATGAACGCGCACCGAGCTGGGGCTAAAGACAAGAGGGACTGTCAGGCGGGATGTGAGACGTTCTGTGACTGTCAGGCGTGATGTGAGACGTTCTGTGACTGTCAGGCGTGATGTGAAGTGAGTGACCTTCTGTGACTGTCAGGCGTGATGTGAGTTAGTGACCTTCTGTGACTGTCAGGCGTGATGTGAAACGTTCTGTGACTGTCGGCGGGATGTGTGACGTTCTGTGACTGTCAGGCGTGATGTGAGACGTTCTGTGACTGTCAGGCGTGATGTGAAGTGAGTGACGTTCTGTGATGAACCTGTTTATTGATGATGATCTAATCATTAGTTTATAAAAGTTCTTTGCTGTCGCCATGAAATATTTTCGCGAATCTTCTGACTATTTCTGATTCACTTCCGTATATCAAGAATTTTCAGCTTGGGTTTAGCTTAGAAACACAGCGCGTTACCTCTAAGTGTAGTCCTTCTATTTACGTGTCAGTTAATTCTAATGTTACTTAAATTTTTCACTGTAATATGGGGTCTGACAACATGTAAAGAAATATGCTAAACAATACATTGTGTCCACTGTTGGTTACATCCTCTTTGTTCGAATAGGTTCCAATCCCCATTGCTAAAAAAAAAAAAAAAAAGATACAGTAAATGTGCGTTTTGAGTTAAAAGTTATATTATCTTTATGGCGTTCCCGACTCGTCTATAAGTGTCAAATTCCTCGTCAACATATACGTCAGCGTCCCGAGGTTAATAGTGTCAGTCCTATGGTGGCTAACAAGTTTCTCGTACCTCCAGTGTGCCTCTCATGGCTGGCTGTGCCGATCTTTACTCCCTATTCTCGCATTCTTAGTATCGATGTGAATGAGCAGCACCCCGAAATCATCCAATCGCTTTTTTCTCCATGGACATAAACAATATCAGGGTGATACATAATACTGTCATCTGCAGCTATGCAGAGCCGACAAATTTATCAGTTCTTTCATTTCAAAGAATACACGCATGAACTCTAGCCAAGATAGGATAACTCCACGCATTGTAGAGTTTTAAAATAAGGGAGATAATTTTTTTTTAAAAAGGAATATAAATTTGAAATGAGCAGAACACATAAATAACGACTTTAAATTTATTTATTAATAAATTATTTTCTGAAACTGTATTTGTGCATATTACATTTATTAATTTATATAGGAACAAGTTGTTAAATTTTAACATTTTGAGGCAATTATTGCGGGCTTTTTACTCTTTTACTCATCCTCTTACAAGATAATAAACAAGGACTTTTGTCCCGCCTTTGATACATCTGACATATATAATACTCCAATTTCGTCCTTCTTAGGACGCAATTTTTTGTCATTTGAAGCCCTACTCTGGCATTTGCCAGAGGCCGCAATATAGGCAGGCCATAAATATGGCCAGATGTCTGAACGCGGTTTCTGGGACCTCTCCACGGTGATCCTCATCCGCATGGTGGCACTTTGTGTCATCGGGTGTTTATCGCTCGTGTGATGTCCTGGTGGGGTAGAAAGTCAATCAATCAATCATCTGACTTATGGGCTGGGTTCCTGTTTTCATAGTCCAATCTGCGCTTGACAGATAATGTGGTCAACATGATTCCAACTGGCTTTATCTCCAGTCATATTATCAAGTACCCATTTTATGCTGAGTCACTCTGGGAGTCAGGATCAATCAGGGGCAGTTTGAATATATACTGTTTGGGAAAACAAAGTCCGCATAGTTATCCGCGTGCACGTTTTTATTATTTTGCAAATAAAATCACGTACTCAAGTATGTGAAAAGCAGACTAAAATGGTGTTTACTGTGTCCAGTGGACATGCGAGTGTGAAATGCATGAGGTTTTGTAATCTTTACAACGCAGTGGTCAATTGTGCTCAAGTCCATATTTGTGAGCATAGCTCATGATGCGCGAATGAGAAAGCAACACAATTTTGGGTGAAAACTATTCACTGCTTACGCAATTGAAACCTTATAAAAGGATAATGCTACACTAAAACATTCAGTTCATTTTCAAGCAGTTAAGAATGGCGACTCTTTCAACAAGTTTAAGAGATTTTGCTATTGGTCGATTGCTGGCAGGAGAAAGTCAAAGTCAGGTTGCCAGGCATCTAAACTTGCATCAGAGTACCATAAGTCGACTTTGGCACCGGTTCCAATCCACTGGTTCAGTTGAAGACCGACATCGCAGGGGACTGCCCAGACAACAGCAGCGGAGAATCGCTTTATTCGCTTTTCACCTAAGAAACAGATTTATGACAGCTCCCTAAACTGCGTAGATTTTGCCTCCAAGACGTTATGTGTCTGATCAAACTGTTCGGGAGAGACTGCATGACATTGGACTTTGGGCACACAATGACCACAACGAGGAGCTAGCTGTCCTTACGTGTCGCCACCGCCAAATCGACTTCTTCCGGGCCAACCAATATTGTCGCTGGGCAATGGAGACGTGTCTGGTTCAGTGACGAATATCTCTTTTGTTTCAGTGTCATGATAGACGGTGTAGGGTCTACCATAGGCGAATTGAAGGTTAGCCCAAAAGTGTGTTAATGAAAAAACTGCTGCACGGTGGTGGCGGTGCAAAGGTGTGGGAAATAATCAGTTACAACCACTTTCCCTCTCACCAAACATACAATTTCGCGCAGACTGTTTGTTGAAAATGTATGACATTCACTGAAAATGTAACTCATTCTTTTTATTACACAACCCACTTTTCTATAGGATCTCCGCCCACTTATTTGGTCTGACGACTTTGCGAAAAAACGTCCTAAATATCTTTCCTTTAAAAAAAAAATGCGGTGAAATTTCCTTTACACAATACATTTATAATTTGAAGTGTTCAAATTGTTTCTTTCTTCATCGTCGCTATCATCATCATGGTTGTCTAGAAACATAGTGCGTCGTTGTGTCACCAATTACTAAGGACACTCTGATTGCGTCCTTGCACATTTGACGGTCAGATACAGTGGACTCCACGATTGCATGCTAAGACCTGTCCAGTCAGTCAAGTTCTGTAACCAGGTCTTTCTTGTTCCGCCTCTCTTCTCTTCCCCTCCACGGAACTCTGTTGTTTTGTTTTTGAGAGGCCGTTCCAGAGTCAAGTTATAACCCAGGTCTATATTGTTCCGTGCCATTGCATTTGTTATCCTTCCATTGCATTTGTTATCTTGTTATCCTTCCACTGAAGTTAGAAGAGGGAGGTTATAAGAATATATTAAATAGTGTTGGGAAGATGAGTCAAACGTGTCAGACTCCTGCTGTTGTCTGACACCTGCTCCGTGTTGCACAATTAACGTGACAGCACTGCTGGCTTTGGTTTAAAGCTGTCCGATTTTACTTATGAGGATTTTACCTGATGAACTTTTTCATATTATCCCATAGTGCTGCATGCCATACTCTATCAAGAACCTTTTTGTTTTAAATCAGTAAACAACGAAACGAACGAACGAACGAACAAACTTTATTTTTAAAGGGTTAGGAACTGGGCACGCAGGCCCGTCTAACATTCAGCCCTTTGAGGTCTCCCTCCATTCTTACATCATTTCATTCACACATCAAGTAATATTAAAAGTTAGCAATAGCATCAAAATAATCAATACAAGCACTGGAATGTGCACATTTCTAACTACAGTAAAGCGTATTAGTTGTAACAAATCTAAGGAAAATGAGCGCTATTTTTCACATATGTTTTATCTTCTATGGGGGCATATAATCGGTGCTCAGATAATATTCGAACATTTTCGAATTGTATGTATATGGACTAGGGGTACTTTTGATTTGCTGTGGTAGATAGTTCCACAATTGAGCTGCGGAATATGACAAACACATAGGTATAGTTGGTTTGTGTTGGGGATATTGCTCTGATAATATGTGGCGATTATATATCTATTCAACCTTGCTTCTTCTAGTTTAGAAACCCGCCTCTTTCTCCGTAATGATTTCTTTTGCTTCACATTTCGGCAACCGAATGACTTCGTTGTCGGTCGAGACAGTATTTGGATTTGTCTCCCTTGATCGATTGAACACTGCTTATGGTGGCATGCAGACGCTTAGCCATTTTATTTGGCGCAGATAACCTAGTCACAATTATAACCTAAATGCATCCACTCGGGGAAGCTGGCAAAGCACTTACCACCACCATCTCCTGCTTGCGGCGTCAGTCTTTTAGGAGTACTTAGAGCATGACTTTCCTCGGATTATATCGGATGACAAATGAGAAGGAAATAGATTGAGGGAAAAATAAGGGGAGTGTGGGTGGAACTGTTTAGATGCCTTAAGTAAAAGAATGACTCGGGGGAAGGGGGGGGTGGGGGGACAAATCGGTGTCAGTGTATGTGGAGGAAGCATTTGACACACATAAAGACCAGGAAATCTGCATCTTGTGAAGTTAGCGGACATTAGGGATTGATGCAGCCCCATGTGACCACGGGAAAGTTAGGAGAAAAGAGCAACCAAGACAAAGATCCATTGAAAAAATAATGAAGGCGTGTTAATAACAGATTTTTAACTTTCTGGCATTGAGGAAAATTGGTACCACAAATGACTGGGAGTACGAGCAACATAATGCTGAAGTCAAATGCTGTTCGGCTTAGACAAGAAGAAGGAAAATAATAATAATAATAAAATAAAATAATAAAATAAAATAATAATAATAAGAAGAAGAAGAAGCAGAAGAAGCAGATTTTCTTGGTGCGTCTCGTTAGCCATGCTTGTCAGCCCCTACCGTGAAAACACGCGTCTACTTTCACAAGCGTGCATCCCTCGCTCGTGATAATACATTTTCACTGGTCAACAATCTCTCCCCCTCACTAATCGGGTCACTATTTCCTGTGAACTCCCGGAAAGTACTATCATACCACTCTGTCCCTTCACACAATATCACACTCTCCCAAATCAGCACGCAACATCTGTCTTTCCTTTACTGTCTAACTGAATGTCTGTCTTTTCTTTACTGTCTGACTAAATGTCGGTCTTACCTTTTCTGTCTGTTTGTAGGTCGGTCTCGCCTTTACAGTCTGACTGAATGTGTTCTTGCCTTTACAGTCTGATGGAATATCCGTCTTGCCTTTAGAGTCTGATTGAATATCCGTCTTGCCTTTACAGTCTGATGGAATATCCGTCTTGCCTTTAGAGTCTGATTGAATATCCGTCTTGCCTTTACAGTCTGATTGAATATCCGTCTTGCCTTTACAGTCTGACTGAATATCCCTCTTACCTTTACAGTCTGACTGAATGTGTTCTCGCCTTTACAGTCTGACTGAATGTCTGTCTTGCCTTTACAGTCTGACTGAATGTCTGTCTTACCTTTACAGTTTGAATGAATGTTTGTCTTACATTCACAGTCTGATTGTACGTCGTTCTCGCCTTTACAGTCTGTTTGAATGTCCGTCCTAACTTTACAGTCTGACTGAATGACGGCCTCGCCTTTACATACGGATTGAATGCCTGTCTTGCCCTTACAGTCTGACTGAATGTCTGTCTTGCCTTTACAGTCTGGGTAATTGTCGGTCTTGCCTTTACACTCAGTGCTGAATGTCGGCCAAATCCTGTTGTCACTGCCAACCCCACTGTTCTTCCTATTCTCTATTACGTCACACACATTGTTTATTTGCTCCTAAACGGTCTCAACCACATCTGGCAGATCGTCTCCTCCTGCTTTACTTCCTCTTTTACTTCAAGTACTGAAGGAGAGATATGGTTCTACGTCCTATTTTTCCTATTGAACCCTTGACCATAGACACATCATGCTGTTGTAGAGTTTCTCTGATGTTATGTTTCCATTTTGTTCTTGGTCTACCTCGTGGTCTACGGCATTCTCTTGTTTAAATGTCTGTCTTTTATGGCACAGCGTCACAGGGCATTCTCTGCAAGTGGGCAAACCATTTGATTTACTGTCTGTTGGTAGTTCAGAATTGGTACTGCATGGACTTTTTCTCTTATGACGTCATTCTTGATAATATCTCTTCTGGTCACTCCTGTGTCAGCATTACACAGACATCTCATGTCAATGGTTATTAATACAATTTTCTAATTTGTTATGGTGACCATGTCTAGCACTTGTACAATAGGCTGGGAAAGATTATGTTTTCTATGAATTGTATTATGCTGCTATGAGGCGTAAAACAATAATAGTGCACAATAGGAGCTATTGTTGTTTTGCTGTTACTGCAGACAAACAGAATGAGACAATATATTCTTGTAATTGGTACTGATTCTAAAGCTCAGAACTGACTAACAGCGGGTTGGACGATAATGGTTTTGTCTGTAAACTTCTTCAAATAGGAGGGGTTCTCGTGGTGGGGATCGCTGGGGTCTATGTGGATGCTGGTGTTGGCTTCCTGGGGGGACTCTGCCAAGACATGCTGGTACAGAAGTGATCCACACGAGGATCCCAGAGCTGGCGCCAGCCAATACACCTGGTCGAGAAAGCAGACAAGAATCGTCAAAGTTCTTCAAACGTTTTTGTATAAGCAGAAGTAGTAGTACTTACTTTAGTAGTAGTGGTGGTTGTGGTAGCAGTAGCAGTAAAAGTAGTAATCGTGGTGGAAGTAGTAATGGCGTCGGTGGTGGTAGTAGAAATAGTATTAGTTGTATTAAGAGTATTAGTAACATAAGTATCAGTAAAAGCAGTAGTAGTAGTAGTAGAAGGGTTAGTAGTGGTGGTGGTAGTAGTAGTGATTGTTGCTATTTTATGTGTTGCTGTCGTAGCAGCAGTAGTAGAAGTCGTAGTAACCGCCACAGTATTAGGAGGAGAAGGCGAAAGAGGAGCAAAGTTGGAGGCGGAGTGTGAGAAATAAAAAACAAATACAAAATAATTGCAAACAACAAATCTATAATAAACATTGACAACATTGACAAGAAGGTGTCTCCCTCACCCAGTGATGATCCCAGGAGCCAGATAGCACGGCAGGTCCCAGAGAGCGTGCTGGGTTCATGCTACAACCAGTCAGCTTGCCCTGCAACATGTACACTTTATGTTCAAGATATTCTTTGAGGCACAAACATTTCATGGTAAAGCGAGGAAAGAATCCAACGATGCGTGGAAAAAGAACTACCTAGAAACGAGAAGCAGAGATGGTCTAGCATGACGATGGACACAGAGACACTTAGACAGGAAAGTTTGCCAAACCTGAAAGTTCATTAGGGACAGAGTAGTTTTCTGGCGTGCGTTGATGAAAAAAGACCTTCTTCAAACGAATGGCCTGTAGATGAAGATGCGTAGGTTACAACCACAAATTACTACCATGACATAAGATGACAACAAATTCTGCGGAAAAAGCATTCCATACGAAATGGGCGCCTGTATCGCAAATAACTATGTTGATTTATCTTTGCCTTAGATCTTTGCGTGAGTGTTAGCGTAGGGTGAGCCACTCAAGGCCCACAAAGTAAGCTTTAACAACAGGGTCCCAATCGCAGCCAGTCGCTGTATCTGTGACCGGAGGGTTCGGCCGACACATTACTCTCAGAGCAAAGGCAAGACGGACATAAAACCAGACAACGACCAGCACGGTTAATACTGGAACTCTGCCCTAGCTGCTGAGGATGGGGACAGAGCGTGTATAGGAAAGCCCCGAGTGCTGTGGTGTAGTTTCTTGACTCAAATCAACTTAAATGAGCCTGAGAATTTACGGCCGCATGGCTAGTGAGTGCTCTCGCCACGACTGTGCAGGTGAGGACTTTTTGTGTGCCCCCGACACACACACAAAAATCCACAGCCTTCCAAGGAATCGCACCCGGGTTTCCCGCGTCAAAGCCCAGCGTTTAACCGTTTGGCCAGCTGCTCCTCCCAGTCGAGGTAAAAAGTTAGTTGCGTATCCTTTACAGGACGTTGCAGAACCAACCCCAACAACTCCTTTGCTGTTGTGTGGTTTCTCTAGGCAATTTACATCCAGTAGTTTGCCATTGCTTCCTGGACGGTCGGCTTTCTTGATACCAACGCAAGGCGCATTGCCCGCAGCTGGGATCGAACCTGGCATCCCGGCATTACGAAGCGTTCGCATCGACTTAGCCACAGAGCCGACCCAGTCGAGGTAGCTTGTACAAATAACGACCAGTCTGTCTCACTTCCACCACTCTATCAAATCTTGAAGTTCGGCTCAGGTCTGCGTACCCTGCTGGTTTCCGAGCTGCTGCTGCTTCTGCACCTTCTCCTCCTCCTCCCTCTCCTCCTTCCAGCTTGGCGAGGGACAGAGTGTCATTACCACGTATAGACTAAAGATTTCATAAAATGTCTAAGGCGAATAAATGATAACTTAATACAGTTCAACAACAGTTCAATCTTTGTTAGCTGTTTATTTTTTCTTTATATTGTCATCTTCAATACAGGTCGGTCAGACCTATAAGTGCCCAGATCTGCTCCTAATGAAATATGTTTATCCAGTTTCGTCGTTTTTAGGACGAAATTTTTTGTTATTTGAAGCACCACCCTGGCTTTTTTTTTATATGTAGCCAATTGTCTGAACGCGGTTTCTGGAACCTCTCCACGGCGATCCTCCTCCACATGGTGGCACTTTGTGTCATCGGGTATTTATCGCTTGTGTTATTGTCCTGGTGAGGTAGAAATTCAGTCAGTCCTAATAAAGGTAAGTATATGAAGTGTGTTTACGCTGACGACAACGATTCTGTCGTAGTTGATGTAGCGATGTTAGCTCTTGCATTCTTTTCACAAGGAGCTGCTCTACTTAGTATGTTTAGACCTCGCCTCCGAGTTGAAGAGAAGTCAGTTTCCTTTTGTCTGAGGTTTCTAGCACGCGTTTTCTCGTGTATAACATGAGATAAATAAACAAATCAATGACGACTGAATAAAGAATAAGCATACTTACGCCTAAATAATGATTTTAGAAATATTAAATGCATTTACAATACAGATTTAATGAATTTTTGACAAAGATTCGACAGACATCCAAATCAATTTAGGAGAGGCTAATTGCGAGTTCAACAAAGGTTTAAGGAAACACATAAACATAAAGCAGAAACGATACGTGAAAAAACAGCCAGGATAAGAAAAGAGGCCGAGGATACTCACAGCCCAGGCGCTCTCCATAAACACGATCAAGCCAATGGTCAGGGGCAGAGAGCCCGAGTGGTCAGTCCGGTACCTGTCGCTGGTAGCAAAGACACCCAGGACCATGATGAAGGTACTGATGACTTCGATAAAAAATCCCTACAGTAGTTAGCTTCAATCAATATATGATACGTCATTAATTGGTTTGCTATAAAGAACCTGTCATGACGTGTAGAGGTAAATCATGGACAATCATCACTTTAGTGAGGATTTTTATGGCGTGTGCAGTCTTGTTGTTTTATAGAATGAGTGAATGAATCACTGCACTAGGTACATTTTCACACGTGCTCCGTCGCCCTCTTCAGTAGCCAACGAAGAGTCCACATGCTAGTAATATCTGTTGCAACTTGATTTAAACGTCCGCCCGTTTCCCCCCGAGTGTTGAAAATCTTCTAGAACATTTACACATCCCTTTGTATTAATATTTTCAGAGTAGCTGAGATCACGTCGTCCAAGACTGTCCCAAATACAACATTTCTGGGCAAAAACTTCTGGCCTAGAGAAAAACTGATGGAGCCCAAACTTTACGGATCGCTGAGTGAAATAGACAAGACACCTAAGTTCATGTTGGAGACTACATTGTAGATACACGTAATCTATTTCAAGCGAAAGAAGAACACGTTTGACTTTCAGTGAATGGATTATCTGTGCTTCGAAGTCGGAGTACATCTGCCTGTAAGGCAGAAACCAACAGTCTGCTTGCAAATGAGTCGACCTGTGAAAAGGATGTGTACGCAACTCTCAGTTTCTGGAAAGAGACTAGAGTCCAGAAATGGACGAACAGCCAGAACTTTCTGTCGGAGTTTAAAGACCGGTTAACGCAAAGAAGAAGAGGAAGAAGATTCTCTCTGATCCCAGGGAGACTTGAGCAAGTCCGTTTTATCACGAAGTAGCTCACCACCCAGAGGTTAGTGCTACACGATTATGAAAGAAAGTACTTACATATCCTGAGCTGTGTACCTACCCACACAAAGCATGCTTAACGTACTCTGCAGCTCACGTGGGAAGCAATCTTACACAACGAAAAAAAATGCCGCCAACCTTTGTGCTAAAAAATCGGACACATTGAATAATGTGTAAAAATCATCCTAATAATTTTTTGGAGTCCCCATCGTTTGCACTAGATTTATTGGTTAGTTAGTTAATAAAAGTAGATCTCTAAATACAACTATAAGAAAGAGACAAACACTGTTCTTTGGCCACATATTGAGAAGAGAGACATTGGAGAACATCGTGACAACTGGAAAGATCAGTGAAAAAAGGGGTAGAGGCAGACCAAGAGAGATGATGCTGGATGGGCTAAAACGATGGCATGGAGGGATATCATCTAGAGAGCTGTTTAGGCAACCAGAGATCGTGATCTGTGGAGACGCATGAGTTAGTTTTATCACAGATTGTCCTTACTATACACTGGACAAGTCTGTAGGCTCGCCGATCCGATCCTTTGTAGATCGGTCAGCGTGTGGCGACTGATAACACAGTTCTGTTCTGGTTTACTGTTCGTCTCCCTAGATTTATTACAATGATTATACTTACGATTTTTGTTTTTTAGAGGTGGGGGATAATTAGTAATTTAAGACTACATTATTTAAAAATCTTTATTATTATATGTTAAATAATATATGAATTATATAACATTTTAGGGAGCGAGGCCAGAAGGGTGGAATGTAATATAGGTCTGCCTGCTCAGTTCTGGACTTTTTGAAGAAGAAAAACAACTAATTTACTCGTTTCTTAGGCTTAAAAGACAGTTTTGATCTACCTGGGTTAGTATTTACACCTGCGTAAAAGACAGTACATACTTAACTGGGCTAGTGTTACATCCTCATGAAAGACAGTACAGACTTCACTGGGCTAGTGTTACATCCTCATGAAAGACAGTACATACTTCACTGGGCTAGTGTTACATCCTCATGAAAGACAGTACAGACTTCACTGGGCTAGTGTTACATCCTCATGAAAGACAGTACAGACTTCACTGGGCTAGTGTTACATCCTCATGAAAGACAGTACAGACTTACCTGTGCTAGTGTTACATCTTCATGAAAGACAGTACAGACTTACCTGGGCTAGTGTTACATCCTCATGAAAGACAGTACAGACTTACCTGTGCTAGTGTTACATCCTTATGAAAGACAGTACAGACTTACCTGTGCTAGTGTTACATCTTCATGAAAGACAGTACAGACTTACCTGGGCTAGTGTTACATCCTCATGAAAGACAGTACAGACTTACCTGGGCTAGTGTTACATCCTCATGAAAGACAGTACAGACTTACCTGTGCTAGTGTTACATCCTCATGAAAGACAGCACAAACTTACCTGTGCTAGTGTTACATCCTTATGAAAGACAGTACATACTTACCTAGGCTAGTGTTACATCCTCATGAAAGACAGTACAGACTTACCTAGGCTAGTGTTACATCCTCATGAAAGACAGTACAGACTTACCTGGGCTAGTGTTACATCCTCATGAAAGACAGTACAGACTTACCTGTGCTAGTGTTACATCCTTATGAAAGACAGTACAGACTTACCTGGGCTAGTGTTACATCTTCATGAAAGACAGTACAGACTTACCTGGGCTAGTGTTACGTCCTCATGAAAGACAGTACAGACTTACCTGGGCTAGTGTTACATCCTCATGAAAGACAGTACAGACTTCACTGGGCTAGTGTTACATCCTCATGAAAGACAGTACAGACTTCACTGGGCTAGTGTTACATCCTCATGAAAGACAGTACATACTTAACTGGGCTAGTGTTACATCCTCATGAAAGACAGTACAGACTTCACTGGGCTAGTGTTACATCCTTATGAAAGACAGTACAGACTTACCTAGGCTAGTGTTACATCCTCATGAAAGACAGTACAGACTTACCTAGGCTAGTGTTACATCCTCATGAAAGACAGTACAGACTTACCTAGGCTAGTGTTACATCCTCATGAAAGACAGTACAGACTTACCTAGGCTAGTGTTACATCCTCATGAAAGACAGTACATACTTACCTAGGCTAGTGTTACGTCTTCATGAAAGACAGTACAGACTTACCTGGGCTAGTGTTACATCCTTATGAAAGACAGTACAGACTTACCTGGGCTAGTGTTACATCCTTATGAAAGACAGTACATACTTACCTAGGCTAGTGTTACATCCTCATGAAAGACAGTGCAAACTTACCTAGGCTAGTGTTACATCCTCATGAAAGACAGTACAGACTTACCTGGGCTAGTGTTACATCCTCATGAAAGACAGTGCAAACTTATCTAGGCTAGTGTTACATCCTCATGAAAGACAGTACAGACTTACCTGGGCTAGTGTTACATCCTCATGAAAGACAGTACAGACTTACCTGGGCTAGTGTTACATCCTTATGAAAGACAGTACATACTTACCTAGGCTAGTGTTACGTCCTCATGAAAGACAGTACAGACTCACCTAGGCTAGTGTTACGTCCTCATGAAAGACAGTACAGACTTACCTGGGCTAGTGTTACGTCTTCATGAAAGACAGTGCTGCCAAGGTTTCCCCTCCAGGACGGAGGCAGCATGTACCAGATGATAGCCGCGCCGGTCACAGCTCCGATACACTGAGATAAGATGTATCCAACTGTCTGCGAAAATTGTATATATATATATATATATATATATATATATATATATATATATATATATATATATATATATATATATATATATATATATATACTTTTGCAAAGGGGGGGGGGAGCAGGTCCCATATCTGACCATCTTTCTTTCCAATCCGGGCTTGGGATCGGCAATTGCTTGGATTGGAAAGAAGGAAACGAGGGTCAGTCATGGGGCCTGCTCCCTCCCAGCAGCAAAAGTTTTATTTGCTGTACAAAAACCTGCAGGAAGGGATAGTATTCCGGCAATCGATCGAATCAAGTGATTGTTGGTGCAAAGTGTGCATGTATGAATGTTGCGGGTCAATGACGCTCTGTGGAAATCAGTATCAGAACAGAAACATTGCTTGGCTCGAAACATGCTGAAGGGATTACACAGTACAAAACACAATAGAGGAAAAGTCTGCGTTCACTGTGTGTTATATAGCTGCACAATAAGACACTGGTTTTATATATGTATATACATACACACACACATGTTTGTGTGTGTCTGTGTGTATATATACGTGTGTGTTTATGTCCATATACATATACATATACATATATATATATATATATATATATATATATATATATATATATATATATATATATATATATATTATATATATTATATATATATATAAAGGCCGCTTGTACATACTTGACAGAACTTTGCGAACAACCAGTTTGTCATTGATTTTTAAATTTTTGAGGCCTGGTATAGGTAACTGAATCGAACACGGTATTTGTAAATTACGAACCGCGTTCATAGCCACTAAGCCCCTGAATGAAAATATAAATGTATCTGTCTGTCTGTCTGTCTGTCTGTCTGTCTGTCTGTCTGTCTGTCTGTCTGTCTGTCTGTCTGTCTGTCTGTCTGTCTGTCTGTCTGTCTGTCTGTCTGTTCGTATGTCTGTCAGCTGGTCTATTTATTTTTTCGTCTGTCAATCTTGCTGGCTATCTGTCAACAGTTATTAGACAAAGAAGACTGCGATAAATGTGGAAATCATGTCTAGAATAAGACAGTGATAATCAAGTAGGAACTGAAATGGGAAGCAAACAGAGTCAGGAAACAAGGACGTTTGACTAAAACATAAGATGAAAGTTAAAGAGAAAAGTCTTAACTGTTAGACTGGACTCTCAACATGTTATCAAAATAGTTGCAAAAGATGCAATGGCTTGGAGAAATACTATAGCAGACCTATCTTAATAGTAGTCGAGGTTTCAACTTCGCTACAGTCGGATTAAACATAATTGCTCCGTTGCTGGGCCAGTGAAAATCAAATGGACTGCGCCTTACTGTACCATTTGAAAAACTGGTGAACAAACAATTAGTACCGGTGCAGTCCATAAATATGCGCACTCAGTAGATGAATTAGGCAGTTGCTAGAGGCGCCAAAGCCAATAGACGCCACCAGAAATGCAGAGTGTCATTGATGGAAGTAGTCGGTCACGATATATTAGTCATACGCATGCCAAATTATTAGATAAGGTGTTTTGTCAGCCCATATGCAAACGGGCGTACTGACTACCACGACATAACCACTGTACAAATAAAATACATTATACATGACCTCAACAAAAAACAAAAACAAAAAACAGTTTACAGTGCTGCAGCAAGCACTTAATGATGTAGCTTAGACAGCCAAACAGTAGGCTTCTTTCAATATGTGTGTGGAAACTGCATTAGCAAAGGGCTGTCAGAAGCAACAATAGCTTCGTAGTTGAACATTCTCCCAAATCTATCCTACATGTTGGGCCTGAAGTCTGACTCTAGGAGCCCTATATGGGGAATATACGATATTGAAGGATGATGGCTATGATGATTATGATGATGGTTGTTATGATGATGATGATGATGATAATGAGGTGGAACTCACCTTTGTTAAAGACACAATCCCTGTAATCATAAACGCAAAAGTCACCACTGGGTTGATATGGGCGCCACTGACATGGTTAAACGTCCACACAATATAGGCCACTGTCATGCCAGAGGTCATGGCCGTTGAGAAGGTACTGACAACCCTCCCGGCGTCCATGGATACAATAGATCCACATGTGGACACGATCAAAATTCCCGTGCCTAAAAATTCGCACAACAAGGCCTTATAGAAATGAACTGTACTCAGTTCATGAAAGCCCAAAAACGCTCTTAAATTATTTGTCATGTCTTTATATTTGTAAAAATGATGTATATTTTATAAGACACGTGAATTTAGGAGAGTTTTAATAATTGAATGCGCAAAGCATAAGCAATCGATGTCTGGAATCAGCACATTGTATTGTATTGTGTTTCTGGATCAGAAGCAGCAGTTATCTGTAACGTTTTTTTTTAAAACAACAACACGTTGTGGACTGACTGCAGTTAAAAGTTACCTAAACAAGTATGGTAACGAACTGGTAATAGTGATAGAATCTTTGTTAATAGTTACTTCGACTCTAGCACACAGTCAAGAAATAATTTGTCTTATTATTTTTAATTACACACAAAGGTATTAGTCAAAACAAATGGGGAAAACAAACCGCACATTTGACAAGTGTTCCAAGCCTCGTTAAAAAATAAAAGTCGAACGCTAAAATTGACCCAGATAAACAAACATACAAACAAAACGGATCATAATGAAAAGCTTATAAAAACAACCAGTGAAAGAAATTCGGCAAAGTCTGGCTTGTCTCCTCGACTTTAGTTGCGCAGCACAAAACGTCCAGTTGTGTGTGTATCTGTCGCCGTGAGTCACCTGAAAACTCACTTTATCACGCAGATAGAACTACTTGGACTAAATGCTCTGTTTTGTCATCACTTAAACTGCCCAAAATATATTCCTGCATAACCACATATACAGTTTAGTAGTTTCGTCTTAGACTTGCATAGAAACAGCCTAGTGAAATACTCAAGATATTATCACCTTATTGAAACGTAAGGGTCAAGAGACTAGACTGGAAGAGACGGTGGGTAGAAATGATGGCGGTCTCTTCAGAACATATGTGTGTATCGCTGTGTCTGTCTAACACAGGGCTTCTCAAAATGTTATATGCATGGCAGGTACTATCCCACTCCATTTACACACTGTGATTTATTGCATGTGTCGTTCAATGACACCAGAACCGTTCAACGAGAGGCAAACACCCGGTAACACAAACTGCCACCCTTCGGATGAGGATCACCAAGGCACGGGTAACTGAGGCCCTGTTCAACCGATAGTGATTATATTAGGGGCCCTCTCTACAGCCAGAGTGGGGCTTTAGAATAAAAATTGCGTCCCAGAATAGGGCGCGGTTTAATGAAGTTGATAAGGATTGTTATTTATTGTTCTTTTTGTTGCCATTTACACTAGTTTGTAATGAGGGAATTTCCCAAAGGATTCCAAATATGAAGCAAGAGGGTTAAGGTTAAGTCAAGTGAGTAGAACCCAAGCAGGAGACGTTCGCAAACTCCGTGTTTAATTAAACTGTTGAAATGTGACCACTCATGGAAACGGGAAAAAGGCTTGAAGGTGAGGAGAGAAGATCGAGTCAGTTTGTGTTTGCACAATTGCAGCAGGGACGATTGGTATAGATGGAGGTTGTTAACAACGTGTGCAAGTTCCTGAGTCTCCGAGGATCAAGGCGGTGTCGCTGTGAATGTGAAGCAAACGTCGAACGACTGTGAGATTTTGCGACGCTGGACTGCAAATGCAAGCTGTCGGCATAAAAGAAATATACATACTTAAGGTAATTACAGGTAGATATGAACTGTGATGTTCCTACATCAGTATTAATGATTGGACCCTTGTATTACTAACGAGAATACAGAACAGTGACTGAACAGTACAGTTATTAGATCGGCAATAAACAGATCAATACTTGCAAATAAGTGTGTCTTCATCTGTGTCTTCACCATCATCATCATTATCACCAGCATCACCGTTGTACTGCAGTCTATGATAATTATTCTTTTTTTCACAAGGGACACTGATGGACGTTTCATGCAATCTTCTCGGCCCAGAAACCAGGCAACTCTGGGCGGACCTGTTTGCTGTGAAGCTGGAAATGTGATTACCTCATCATCATCATTATTATCATCATCATCGTCATCATCATCATCATCATCGTCGTCAAAGACTAATTTACGGCTAAAATAATGAAATCTGCATTTATATTCCGAGACAATTTTCTTCGCTGGGTATGTTTGGGATCCCACTGAAATATTTTCGCCAGTCAGTCTAGGTGGAAATTTACCAACATTACTAGCTTATTGTTAACCACACTTGCAAGAAACGTTGCAAATATGCTAATGATGGCTCGACAATCCATGATTGATGGAATCATTATCAAAGTGACCGCTTTTACCTCACAGGACATTCAAAGACGTCCGACCGTTAAAAAGTTAACAAGTTGACTAACTGTGAAAGACCTGAGGGGGGTACTGGACATTCTGAAAGGACGTTAGACAACTTTGCATATGTCACTAAAGGTTTTGAAACAAGAAAACAGCGAAACAAGAAAAACTGACAAGTTCATTTTGTGAAAGACCTTGTAGGAATTGAAAAATAAAGGTGTAGGTTGTTGAAAAAAAAAAAAATTAAAAAAAAAAGTGTTCCATAGTGTGATGATTTACAAGTTACATGACTTAAAAAAAAAAAGCTATAAAGTTGAACTATGCGAAAGATCTGTCAAGGAAAGTAAAGGACTTGGCACAAAACGACGACATACGTCCATTAAAGTTAAAAAGTTGTCCCGCAGTGAATTGCTGACAAGTTGCTTGACGTCATATTAAACACGGAGCACTTCGGTCAGTAGGCTATCGTGTTAACCATTGCGAGACTGTGGCCATACAAGAATAAATTATATGTGTGCCGTCTCCAACCCGAAGGTTAGTTACGGGTACCAACTTCTGCCTCTTCCACTGCACGACTCTCGTACCATCCTCTGAAAACGATACAATTTTTTCTTAAACCGTCCGCCACAGAACCCAAACACTACTGCTCAAGGACTGTGAAATTGTTAAACGCGATCACTAAACTCTAAGCTACACAGCGACACATACCGGTAATTGCTGTTCATTTAATTCGCAGGAAAATTTAACAAGTATATGAATGTGTTTGTATTCTTGTGTAAGTGGGTAAATATGTGTGTATGTCTCTGTATGTGTGTGTGCGTGTGTGTGTGTGTGGAAGGGAAGATGAGGAAGACGAACTCCTATGTGTATGATAAGTAGTACCTTTTGATCAAAGTACTTCTACGCAAGTTGATGACGCCAAGTGACTCAAAAGTACACAGAAAAAGTGTTTAGAAGCTGCCCATATAAAATACATTATTTATTGAATAGCTTTAGAATGCTTCATAAATGATTATGGTTATGTGAAAGTTCACCTTGTCAGAGCTGACAAACAAATTTATTTGGTGCAGGGGTACTAAAGTTCCCCTGGTCCTATACAGCAGCACTGTACTATTAAGTAATGTCATGACAGTCGCCTTAATTGACATGAGATGTCTGAAAAAGGCTGCAACAGTGACCAAAAAAAAAAAAAAAATAATGAGGGAAGAGGTCATAGTATGCCAGTCCTAACACATGGATGTGAGTTACGGGGAGTGACAACCGCTCACAGAAGACAGCTTTAGTCCTCAGAAATTAATTTTATGAAAAAATGGTCCAAATGACAAGAAGGGACAAAGTTCGCAAACAATACGCCATGAGCTTGAAACACAGAACATACAAACTTGAGTGGATCAGTCACAGTTACGATGGTTTGGACATGAATGCAGAACGAGAGAGAATCGGCCAGCACGGCAGGCATTTGGGGCTAAGAACCAGTCAACCAGACCACAAGGATGGTCACGGTTGATAGAGTACTCGAATAGAAGAACAAACTGCTGATAGGGAAGTCTGGCGATCTCTCTACGCTCTAATGTAGAAGAAAATAGAACCAATTCAAAATTGCATACAAAGACACCAAATCAAATGGTTTGTCCGCTTGGAAAGAATGCCTTTTGACACCATACCATACAAGGCATACACCAAAAGAGGAGAAGGGCCTAGACCACAAGGTAAACGAAGAACAAGATAGAAAGAAAAAAAACATCAAAGAAAAACAATTAAAAACACACACAACGACAGCACCAAATGTCAATTTTCAAGGTGACCAGAAGAGCGGAAAGCAGAATCTGATATCTCCTTTAACACTCGAAGGGGTAGATGAACAAATGAAAAAGATGCCTTAACGGCTGAACTGTTGAGGTTTGTCAGTGAAGTAATTGTTCACACCTTGGCGCGCACTGAATATATGAAGGTAGCTAGAGTGGCCAAAAAAAAGCTAAACATCATGGGGGTTGCCCGAAAGGGGAAGATTGGGGATAAGATCTTGGGTAAGGGCGGCGTCCTAAGCCGCAGTACACATATTTTAGCGGTGGGGAAGATCTTAAGGCTCCTAAGCCTTATTTTAGTTTGTAATAATAATAATCTAACCCGGAAATTAAAAGCTTTGTTTGAAATTATATGGAAAAAAAATTGAGTTTATAGACAAATACTTAACTACATTGCAAGTATGCATGTCTAAATAGGCGGCTTAACCTCAGTATATATTGTCTATGGGAGCTTGGTGATTTAGACAAATTTGGGAAGGGGGGAAGAAGGTTGGGTGCATGGAATAAGTCCTCAGTTAAAACTTTTCTCTAAAAAAAGAGGAGGAGGAGGAGGAGGGGGGGGGGCGGGCAGATATAAGGGTGCTAGGCTCTTTAAAACCAGGGGATTATGAAAAAAGCGGGAGCCCAGGAACAGCTTGTCACAGACATCAGAGGGAGACATTCATCATTTTTCGGCTATTTCATGAGAAAAGGGAAATAAAACATTTTATGACCACTGGATGGATCAATGGAGGGAGGGGTGCTGGAGGACAGCGTGAGAAGATTCTTGACAGTCTTGTTGCATGGCCTGGAAGTGTGTCGGCACACGAACTGATACATGCTGCAGGAGATCGCAGAATGTGGAGAGGCATGATCGCCCACGCCAGTCGGCAAGGCACATGATGATGATGATGAAAGCATTGGATTCTGGTGGCTACTGATGCTAGTGTCTACATGTATGTCGTAGACTAATCAGCGTATGGTGGGAAATCTGCTCCGCGTCACGCCTGCCTTCTTCCATAGAAATATTATGACCTTTAAAAATTAAATGATAAAAGGGATACAA